CCATTGTTGGACTTAAGCATAGACATAGACATGTAAACAGGCAATCCGTGGTATTCGAGCAACGATATCTTTCCGGCGGCCGTCAAGTTCTTGTACTTCGGCAAAAACGCCTTGAAAGCGTCATCAACAGGACAGAAAATCGTCAATCCACCGATTGCGTTTTCCTGAAAAACCTTTGCAGCGTCGGAGGCCTGAAGCGCATCGGCGAAGACCTTGCAACCGTGAGCGGACATTAATCCGTTCAAATTCATCTCACTCGGAGACGGAGTTGGAGCCTCCGCCACTTCCGACGGCAAGATCTTACTGATATGAATCACAGAGATATTGTACGGAGCCTCCTCCACAGATTTCACAAACATCGCATCAATGGCGTCACTATCTTGAAGAGCAAATCCTACCTTCCCGCCCTTCAAATTTGTGATGTTGACGAAACCGGAAGCACCGGGAGCAGCGCCGGTGGTCTGAAACATAGTCGCTACGAGAGCAGTGCCATTGGTGATCTGGTGAAGCTTATTGGCTCCATAGTAGTCTAAGAGGACATGGAGCGAGAGCGTGTGCTTGATGGAGTAAATCGAAAGCTTCTTCGCCAAGAGATCGGACATGGCGGAATTATCGACAGCGCAGACGGTTATAGTGGTTCTCCGGTTGATCTCCGGCGCGAGGTGAGTAGTAGTCAAGTAGTCGTTGAAGGTGGAGAACTCCGGGTGCTTCGCAAGCAACTTCGTGATGTTGTGAGCCCTAGCGGCGGAAATCACGAGGAGAAGCACGGCAAGGAGCATTGTCCCGGCGGCCGTGCCGCAACGGAGCTGCTGCATTGTGAATCGTAAGAGGAAGAGAAACAGGGGCTGAGTTTGTGGGAATTGGAGCAAAGTGAGTGCGGAAGGAAGACGATAGCAGAGAGGAGTGAGGGTTTAAAAGAACAAATTGGGCTCAGAGATGAAGATTATTACAACTAAACCACTGGAATTCTCTTTTTCCGACTCATCCCGCATTTTCTTTTCTTTTCTTTTTGGCTTTTTTCTTATTTAATAATTATTTTACACGTCAGCGTACAACTTAACCGGCAATAAATGTTACTCCTTTTCTTGCTTATATAAAGTTTCTCTCCCCTCATTTTCTAAAACATTCTCTTAAACCAAGGTCAGAGGCTCGAGCCTACGTCGCTTGGTCGTAGGCAACGTAAGAACAAATTGGCTTAGCTCACTTGTCGTTGGAAAGTGAATGCCGCACAATTGCAAGTTCGTTACCATCAAGAGTGCAATTGCAACACGTAACACTAGGATCACTTACGAACTATTTTTGAATACTCATGGACAGATGACAGCACCAGTTAAAGAGACCATGAAATAAAAGTCACCACATACAGTGTAACGACCCAGTACCCAAAATTCATAATCCGAATTTGGCACCTAATGACCTCAACATTCTCTTAGCCACCAAAAAGGAAGGTACACATTATTTGTATATACAGTGACTTTCAATACTTTTAAGTCTTTTTTAGCTATTTTATACTCAGATTCCTTTCATTTGTTGTAATCTTGATTTATTCATGTAGCTCTTATTTACTCAAACGGCATATAATTTCTACATTTACTTAATATATTATAATATATTATAATGTTTAGAATCAAATTAAAAATTATATAATACAAACTTCAATATTATATTAGAGTATGGTAAGCTAAGTGTACATTTTTTGTATTTTCTTTATATGTTATATAATTAATTATTGTTTGGAGACCGACAAATTAATTTCTATAAATATAATAAATAATTAATTATCACAAGTATTTTATAATTAAATCTGAATAATTAACCCGAGATTAATCAATAAAGAAAATAAAAGGAAAATTACAGATAAATTATAATATAAATTAAAGTTGCTGCCTAAAATAAACCACCAAACTTTTAAAATTTAATAGTTCTTATTATAAATATTTATGCTTCATTTTTCACCATTTTAGTATTTCAAAATTTTAATTTTATATTATATAAATTTCATTCAAATGATAGATTATAACTTCATTGTAGGGATGTTCGGTTCGCGAAGTTGAAGTCGTGAGAGGATCTGTTCTAAATGGAATGGGGACTGTGGGAGGAAACGGATAAAAATTTCTCTTCGTTAGTCAAATAGGGTCGTAGATGGAGATTCTGCTCTCTACCCCATCCTTGTCTCAATCTCCACTTGCCTTTTCGTTAGCTAAACGGGCTCGGGAATGGAGATTCTGCTCTCCACCCAACATCGTTTATAAAATGTCTTATTTCCAATTAAAAAAACGTTGCAACAGTGGTAGATTTTTGGTTCTTAGAACTAACATAATTGTATGACCGAGAGGCAGATGGAGATCAAAATCGTTTAAAATCTCATAAAACTCAAGTATCAAATATTCGCAAGCTATATTGTATCATTAACATCGTTTATAAACGTCAAATATTCTTAAACGATGTTAGGTTGATTTATTTGACGTTTATAAACGAGATTAATGATAGAGTGTGAGTTGCGAATATTTAATAAGTAATTTAATTAAATACTAAAAGGGTAATTAAACGTATTTATTAAATAATTAAAAATGGGTAGTATTATAATATTAGAGATCGTCGGTTCGGTTGGGCTTGACCCGACAAAGTGGGAAAATACGCTGGAATACCATTTTTGGTAATTCTGCCAAAAGTAGAAGGGTATTATGGTCTAAGAAAACAGCTGGGACCAAAGTTTAGTACGTGGGGAATGTGCCAACTGGGCTAATGCTGGAGGTTGTATGCCACGTGTACGGTTAAGATGACAACATGAGTTTATATCATTGTCGGTGGGATCCTTCCACCGACATACAGATTTATGGCTTTTGGAATGGTTTTTTCTTGTGTTTAAATTAAAATATTGTATTTTTATTTCTCATCTTAATTTTTTTTTTGTAATTATTAATTTGGTATTTAATATTCTATTTTATATTTTCGATTTTTGTATTTTTATTTATCATTTTCTTCCTCATTTTAATCTCTCTCTCTCTCTCTCTTTTTTTTTTTTGTAATTATTAATTTAGTATTTAATATTTTACCATCCATAAATTTATGCAATGTATTAAAAGTGTTAAGATTTATAAATATATTTTACTTACTATATATAATATTTGATTTCTTAAATATAAGTTGTACTAAATATTTATAATTAAAATTTTGTTTTTTATTTTATTATATTGTATACTTATTTATTTACTGCCGGTTAAAATTTGAATGTTTATATATATATATATGCATGTATTTATATGTATAAATAAATAATTAAACACCAATCAACTCTCCATATCTCTTTCTAGATTTAAATTAAATATTAAGTTTTTTTCTTTCATTTTTAATTCTATAGATTTGAATTTTGTTATATTTATATATTTCAATATTAAATTGATAACAATAAGCAAATTTTGAGATTTATGTTCTAAATATAGTAATTAGTTGATTATTTTTCATAATTTTGATTGTTTTATTTGCAATTTATTATTATCGATGATATGAAAAATCTAAGGTTATTAATGTAATTTTAAATAGCATGTGGTGACAAACAAGAGCATGACGTTTAAGTAATAACTTAAATGGTGTACGTGGATTAGGTTGGGTGCCTCATCTTGAAAACACTATTGATACTATCCATTTTATAATTATTACGGATGATTTGATCTAAATCATTCACGTGGAAACATGTGAGTGGAGCTATCCTATAGACTAGACCACGAAATATTTAATCTTTTTTTTATAAGTCAATTAATTGAGAAGATTAGTATTTCACATGAGTTATGAACTTCTGCCTGTGAAGGCTTGTCTTTTGATTTGCATGTATATCTATCATTTTGGAGACTTGATCAAATAGGGAGGTAAGAATATAATATTACGAGAGGTAATTTGTTACTTTTCATATAAAGGAAGTAGACGAGTTGTTCTGATATGAACCAAGAGACATCAATCATACAATATGCTTCAATGAAGATGTGAAGAAAATATTGTTGAAATTATCAAAAGATATTTCAGTTCATGTCACATTCAAGAATGAAGTTTCATGTTATAAATTTTGGGTGAATTATAATTTAGAGTAATTTAGATTTATTGTATTTGATTAATGTATTTTAAGACTTTTAATTTACTTTAGGTTACAATTACTTTAAGTATGAAGGTTACTGTTGGAATGCTTTTAATAGTTTCAGTTTGAGGCTATATAAAACCATGTATGTTGTATCTGTAGAGAGACTTGGAAGATGTAGTAAAAGAAGTATTTGTGCTCTTCTTTAGCCAATAGCCAAGTTTCTTTGCAATTCTATGTAGTTCAGGTTGCATGTAAAATCATTCAAGCTCGACATGATCAATCTTGCTTGTGGAGTGATTCGAATCTCAATCAAGTGTTCTTGCCTTGAGATATTTGATCAACAAGAATTATTCAAGCTAGACATGATTAATCTTGCTTGTGGAGTGATTCGAATCTCAAACAATGTTCTTGCCTTGAGATATTCGATCAATAAGGTAATCCGAATGTTACTCCCCTAGTAGTGATTTTCACATATCATGTTCTCTTCAATGTTGGTTCAGAGACTCGAAAATGGGGCCCACCCTCTTATAATCTTGAGAGGGACTTAATTTATAATTGAATCATAAACAATTATGAAGTATCGACTTGGTTGTAATGATTGCATCAATAGACACAACTTGTAAAACTGATTAACTAAAGAGTTAAAGTTAATAAATTTTATATTACTCTAAGTTTGAAATTAATATTTAATATTTTAAATATAAATGAAGAGAAAATATTTAATTTGGTTTATTCGAGATTTTTTTAAATTGATTTATAGATATTATTAAAAAATTTAATGTTGGTAATTTTGAAAAAAAAAAAAGCATTTTTATTAATTTAGTGTATTTTTCTTATGAGAAAGTTAAGAGATATTTATAACGATAGACCAATTTGCTATCATGAGCGTCAAACGTTAACGGCGGACTTTAGCAAAATGATAAAGCCAATCAAGAAGAAGATGGGGGAAACTTCGCTAGGATTTTCTTGCGCGATTCCAGATTAGGGTTTCTTTCTCTCTCCTCTGCGCGTTTTCTTCCTCTGTTCTTCTGCACTTGTTCCGTAATTGGGGCATCGATCTTTGAGCTCTATCTTCTCTTGATTACTTTTCAAATTCATCTCGTACGTGCTTCCGTTCGATTTTTCTTGATGTTGCCTGCATTCGGTTTCTTGATTTGAATGATTTGCTAGAGGAAGTCGCTGAAGAAGGTAGAGATGGATGAAGGAGAGGGAGGGTTCGGTGAGGGTGTGGATCAGATTGATCAGTTTCATCGGAATGAGGCTATTTCTGCTGTTGCTGATGATGGTTTCTTGGGCGAAGATGAGGATGAATACGAGGACCTGTACAACGATGTCAACGTTGGGGAGGGGTTTCTTCAGTCGTTGAGGAAGAACGAAGATTTGGGATTTAAGAACGTGGAGGAGCCCAAGAGGGAGCCTCCTGCAGCTGTAGCACCCAGTTCTGGTGCTTCGATTCCTGGGGTTGGTGGAGGTGCGATGGAAGTTTCTGGTTTAGGAGATGGCGGGCCCAGTGTTTCGGTGAGACCAACCGAGGGATACAATCAGATTCCAGATTTAAGAACGAACGAGATGGCTATCAGAGGTGGGGCTGGATCGGGGCCTCCTATTGGCGGTGGAGGTGGGATTAGGGTTGAATTAGGGCAAGGGAGTAAAACCAACGAGTTGGAGGAGCGAAGTAGTAATAACGCAGCTGCGCACCAGCCTCCGCAACAGCAACAGCAACAGCAACAGCACCACCCCCAACCACCGCAGGGTGGGCTTTTAGGAAACCCTGGAAACGTAGAAAATGAAGGCTTGTTAAGGCAAGGTGGTGGAGTAAATGTAAATGGGGCTGGTGGTAATGGGTTAGGTAATATGGGGAATGCAGGGGGAGGTGGTGGTGGTGGAACGATTTTGTTTGTTGGTGATTTACATTGGTGGACTACAGATGCTGAGCTTGAGGTGGAACTCTGCAAGTATGGTCCGTTGAAGGAGGTCAAGTTCTTCGATGAGAAAGCTAGTGGGAAATCAAAAGGCTACTGCCAGGTTGAGTTTTATGACTCATCTGCTGCCACGGCTTGCAAGGAGGGAATGAATGGCCATATTTTTAATGGACGTCCATGTGTTGTTGCATTTGCATCACCATTTAGTGTTAAGAGGATGGGAGAAGCCCAAGTAAATAGGAACCAGCAGATAGCTCAGGCCACTAATCCTCAAGCAAGAAGAGGTCCTAATGAAGCTGCCGGTAAAATTGGTGGAAGTAACATTGCAACGGGTGGCAATTATCAAGGTGTTGATAACAACAGAGGTTCTGGGCGAGGTAATTGGGGAAGAGGTAATGCACATGGAATGGGAGGTAGAGGACCAGCTGGTCTAATGAGGGGCAGGGGAGGTGGGATGGGTGGAAGAGGTATAATGGGGAATGGTGGAACTGGATTTGGCCAAGGAATTGGTGGCACCCCTCCTCTTTTGCATCCTCAGTCAATGATGGGTCAAGGTTTTGATCCAACTTTTGGTGCACCCATGGGAAGAATGGGCGCATATGGAGGTTTTCCTGGAGCTCCAGCTCCCCCTTTTTCTGGAATTTTATCGTCCTTTCCCCCTGTGGGGGGTGTTGGCCTTCCTGGAGTAGCTCCTCATGTGAATCCAGCATTTTTTGGAAGAGGTATGCCTATGAATGGAATGGGGATGATGCCATCATCAGGTGTTGATGGGCATAATATGGGAATGTGGACTGATCCTAGTATGGGGGGATGGGGCAGTGAAGAGCATGGTGGAGGGAGAGCTGGCGAGTCAAGTTATGGAGAAGAAGCTGGGTCCGACCAGCAGTATGGCGAAGGCAGTCATGAAAGAGGGGCGTGGGCAAACTCTGCAAAGGAGAAGGATAGAGGTTCTGAAAGGGACTGGTCACAGTCCTCTGATAGAAGGTATCGAGATGATAGAGATGGTGGATATGATAGAGAGACTTCCAAAGAAAAAGATCCAGGTCCTGACCATGATTGGCCAGATAGAAGGCCACGTGATGATAGAGATATAGGGCGAGAAAGGGATAAGGTTAGAGATCGGGACAGGGAACGATCCCGAGATCATGAGCGTGGCCATCATGACAGGGATCGTGACCGTGATAGGTACAAGGAAGATAGGGACAGATATTCTGATCATCAGAGGTATAGAGACCGTGAACCAGAGCATGAGGAGGAGTGGGATAGGGGACGGTCGTCAAGGACTCATAGCAAGTCTCGCTTATCTCAAGAAGAAGAAAATCGTTCTAGATCAAAGGATGCTGATTATGGGAAGAGGCGGAGGCTTACCTCTGAGTAGTTGAATCATTCACCATACATGCTTCAAACTATAGAGTATGGATTTTCATGTTCATTTGTGTTCTCTCTTGATGTTCTGGTCTCTTTGGTTCACCATTGCCCTTTTGCCTATGCTGTTTGTTGTCTGAACTCTGGCGTATCACTTCTACCTATAGGAGGATGATCTGATTTGTTGCAGGAAAAAGGTACGTTCTTACAATTCTTCTCTTTTTCCCAATTTTTAAAATTAAATTCTGGTGGATTTATAGGCTTCATTTTATACACTAGTGATGTTCTAAGGTCTTTAAAATATGGACATGCTAATTAATGAACTTGTTCAAAACTGATTCTCTTTAGAAATATATGTTTGCTCTATCCATGCTCTGATGAAATTTCTTCTTTCCAATTAAAAAAATGTTGCAGCAGTGGTAGATTTTTGGTTCTTAGGACTAGTATCATTGTTGATTTTTGGTTCTTAGGACTAATATCATTGTTGATTTTATTGCTATAGTTGTATCCTCTATTGTTGTTTAGCACTATTTACTGGCCTCATTTTTCACTAGTTTTACGTTCCCATTTGATAATTATAAAAGTTAGCATTTGTTGATGATATGCTAGATTAAAATACACAAGACGTGGACTAGTTGACATCTACATTCTTTAAAATAATTAAACAGATTAGAACACAGACATGGTTTGGACTCTTCTGTTAGGAGTTATTAATTATATTTGAATTTTTCATACATATCAATGATACTTGATTTCAAAGATTATGTCAAAGATATGATCAAATATGGCCATGTCTTTCGAAGTTGGAAAAAGTTAAAAAGGTTAATAGAGTTTTGTTGTTATCCTTGTTTCTAATTTTAGTTTCTAATTTTAGTTGCTCTAATTCTAATAAAATCTAATCCGTCCTTACTGTTGAGTTGGGATTAAATGTTAAGATTAAAGGAAATTTTAATGGCCAAGATGAGGGTTCCAACAGTTTAATTGAAGGAAGTATTATAGTATACTCAAGTTGAAACCAAAAAGAGGCATGAGGTTTCCAAATACTTCCATTACCAAGGCGGGCATGAGGTTTCCAAGTACTTCCATTCTCAAGGCTCCCAACAATCTGGTAAGAGGGAAAATCAGGTCCACATCTACAAGAAGGAAAATAGAGGATCATGACATCTTCTTTTGCCTTTCTGATATCTATGAGGTGAGCTATAGTAGTGATGATAGTCTTTGATTATGATTAGTTTGGAAAGAAAAGAGGAAAGAGGCTGTAGAAGTGACTGTTTGTCTGGATGGGACTGGGTTACCTTATTCAATCCTTGTAGTTTGGAATAAGTCTACTTCTGCCACAAAATACTTTGTTTTCTGTTTCTGATTGTTTGGCAAATGAGGTTGTTGAAGTTTCTAAAGATATGGAAGATTTGAAGATGGTACGAAGTTTGCGATCAGTTTAGTTCCAAATCGAGGCAAAGGGGATGTTAAAAAGACAGCTTGAAAGGGCTAGAATGAAAAAACTTGAGCGGCAAGATGGAAGGTGTGTGGAAAAAGAATGGAAAAGAAGTGTGTTTTTGGAGGATCAAGCGTTGGGTTGGAGCTGTTTTGGCAGCCTGGTTCAGTCTGGGGTCTGCTTTCATCTCGAAGTCTGGGTTAGAATACTAAAGATTGGGTTTTCGTTTGGTTGGTGTTTTTTTATTGTGTTTTTTTAAGTTTCCCTTTCCAGTTTAGTAATAGTTGTTTAATGATCTGTTCTGTGACTTATGGGGCGGTGTTTTTCTATGTAACTTTCTTGGGGTTTTGGCTGTTTTTTGTATCCTGTATTGGAGTTTGTACCTTTTCATTTCATCAATGAGAAGTATAGTTCGTTTGTAAAGAAGATTGTTGATGTCAGGCAATATTATATGAGTTAGATCGTTTTTGTGACAGGATTTTATGGTAGGGATTGAATCTAACACTTAATTTTGCATCTTCTGAAAAGGAAACCTAACATTAGTTATGTTTATGTCCATGTTTTTTTTGAACAAGAAACAAGAACTTTTCATTGACTATTGAAAAGTTTCCAATGATTCTTTTAGGAGTAGAAACTACTAAACCCCAAAACCAAGACTAAAATAATCTCAAAAGCAAGTAATTGCAAAAAACCTCGAGAGAGATGGAGAGCACTCCAAAAAGCCACAAGGGTCTTTATCAAGCCAAGTTTTCCTCCCAAATATGCTCTTTCTCTCCCTCTAAAAGCCTCTGATTTCTGACAACACAAATGCCCAAGCCACGGATTTACAATGGAGACCTATACAACTCTTGCTTTTCCTTCAAGATTGTGACCACAAGGAAGAATAAAGATGTTAGGTTTTGCCCAGAAATCTAACTCTCAAGAAACACATGAAAGATCTGAAAAAGCTTCCCATAATAAGCACCTGCCGATAGAACAATCTAAGAACAAATGATGCTCCCTAGCGTTAAGACACAAAGAACAGTGACCTGGACCCAAGGACCATCCCTGGCTGCTTTCTTTGGACCATATTCAGTGTTTAAGCTTTCAAAAAAGACCAATTAGTCTAAAACGTTTACCTTGCTTGGACAAATGTTTTCGACAAGGTTGAAACAAAAGATTTTGGCAAGGAAGATGATGCAATAAGCTTTTTAAACATTGATCTAACTGAAAAAGATTCTGATCATCCAAAATTCGCTTTCTCCTATCTTCCTCTCTAGAGAGAGAGAGAGGTTCATTCTAATCATTCCAAAATACCACAATAGTCGCTTACTTGCTTGTCCCTTCAACTTCTTTGATGGCGACTCTTCAAGAACATGAATCCTCATCCCAAGCGCCTTTTGACTAAAAAAATGCTGGGAAAACGAAGAGCCAAGTACAGGTTTTGAATTGAAGAGTCTTTCCGTAGAAGTTTTCTAACCATTGCCTATACCCTGATCATGGAGAACTTACTAATTTTCTTTTTTTAAATCACAACATATTCCACCAAGGGCTTCTACAATTTTCAGATGTCTTCATTGTTATGCATCACTTAGAATATTCACTTTGAAAATTGTTTATATTTCAACTATTCTTTTATGATGTCGATTAACTTTTTAACCAAAAAGGAGCTAATAATCCACTGCTTTACTTCATGTCTTCAAAAATTGTCATACATATGCTCATATGTGTAGACATTTGTTAAGCGCATTTCATATGTATCTGGCACATGTCAAAGGCATTTGATGTGTTTAATATGTTTCTTGTTATAAGAAGTGTGTTTCTGAATCTCTATACTTTCTTACTTTTATCTGTTCCGGTGCTGAAATTGTACTTGATTTAAATAAAACATTTTGAGTTCATCTATATTTAGATGTTTGACGTCAAATCGGACTCATCGGTTCTCAGTTTCCAGTAACTACCTGCGTAAATTTTGTTTGCTTTATGTTGACATAGTAATTACCAATAGGAGAGCATACTGCATACTGTTAACTTGTTTCTGATTGGAAGTACCTCTCATTTTCTGCTGTTTGTAGTTTAAACAACATTTGATACCGAGGATTTCATTCAGTGGACACAACCGTTGGTTCGGGGACACCAGGGACTTTCAAACTCTCATATGCGGAGATAGAACGCATGCGTGACAATCCCTACTTGCTCTATTAATTTGATAAGGAAACTCTTGGTTTAAACTTCTCACGTTTCTTTTGAATGATGATGTTTCTTGACTTCTTGGCACTTATTGACAATGATATTCTTGTTGTAATGGCTAAATATTGCTGGCGTCCAGACATGTCTAAATGTTTTCAGACATGTAATGGGTTACTACTATGTTGTTAGAGTATGTTAGCCTGGAGGATGTTGTGATGTGCGTTATTCTGTTTTTGAGCTCTTGTATCCTATCCTATATTCACACCACTTTTCCTTTTTTGATACCACACCTTAGTCATTCTAATGTGAAGATGTAGAGCTAATCATTCTTTTAGAGCTGTTGCTTTAACCTTCAGAGGCTGTATTGTATTGTATGTACCTGTTTCGAATTTGATTAGATGTAGTTTCAGAGGTTGTATGTACTCATGTACTTGTATGTACCTGTTACCGACTGATTAGATGTAGTTTCAGAGGCTGTAAATACACAAATACTTGTATGAAACTGTTATGAAATTGAGTAGAGATGTAGCCATGGATTTGAGTTCATGGAGAGCTGTTTTATAGCTTGTTGATTTTTGGATATCTTTCCAGTCCATGACAGGTTTTTTGTTCCATTCCTGATGGAGTTGTTCATCCCACTAGCTACTTGTTTATGATTCTCTTGAATTTTTGAGTTCGGATAGTTCTTGAATTTTCATGCATCTTTTTCTTTCATATTCATATGGGTCGGTTTTCAACCCTTTTATAAACAAGTCTACCACTTCTAGCGTAGCTCGAGATGTTTTTGTTTAGAATGAAATATTGAATTTTTGTATTGGTTGCAATGAAGTGATACTGTACAATCAGCTTTCTAGTGCAAATCCTCTGCAAAGAGTTTCAGTCATGTGCTTTATTGGTTGTCTTTTGATGCACCAATAAATTATTTTCAATCGAGTTTGAACATGTACCTTGTGGTTGATCTTTTGTATCGTGGTCTTCTGCATAGTTAATATTACAATATCTAATTAGCTTGTAGTTTTTGCTTCTTTGGTACGAAAGATTGTAGTGTTTGTACTTATGATATATCTCAGAGGCCGTTGAGCTACATTCTCAAATCCATTTTCTTGGTTCATGTAGATCTCTCGGTCCTCCAACTCTCTATGTAAGAAAATGTTCTTCACATCCATTTTAATTTTTATTCGACACTTACTAGCGAAACCCATATGGTAGTGATCTTTGCCAATGGACTAAACATTTCATTGTAGTCTAGTCCATATTAACTCTCCAGGTAAGAAAACATTTTTCACGTCCATCATTGATCGTTGCCAATGGACTAAACATCTTATCGTAGTCTAGTCCATATTGTTGAGAGAATCTTCATGCTACAATTCAAGTCTTGTAGATCTCGATTGTTCCATCTAGGAGACGCTTTATTTTGTCAATTCAAGTCTTGTAGATCTCGATTGTTCCATCTGAGAGACGCTTTATTTTGTAACCCACTTGCGAGAGATGAGTTTGACATCTAATTTTGGAACTAGTTCCCAGGTTTGATTTTGCTCCAAGACTATAATTTATTGTTCGATCGCCTTTTGTCAAGTTGAGTTTTGTAATGCTTCTTCACCATACGTTTTTAGCTTTTAATTCTGTCTTCTATTATATATGCGTTGGCATACTTAGGATTTGACTTCCAAATTTTTTTCCGCTTGGTTGTCCATAGGAAAATATCCCGATCATGATCATGATTCTAAAAGGCTAGGTGATAAAAGAGATATAGGTAGAGAGAGAGAGAGAGAGATAAGGATCATGATCACAATATGAAACGTTGTCGAGATTACGAGCGTGGACATAATCGTGATTGTGAACGCAATAGGCACAAGGACGATCGAGACAAATATACAAATCATCATAGATTGTATAGGAACCGTGAATTAGAGCATGAAGATGAGTGGAAAAGAGGGCAGTCATCTATTTTCTGATTCCTAATTACATATCATAATTTTATACACGAAAATTTTAAAAGCGTTTAGTCAGAAAAAAAACTTGGACATTCGTGTTTTGAATGAACATTCAAGTATGTATATGAAGAATCAAACTTTCATTAAAAAAAAAAATAACGAACGAATACAAAGATATAAAATTGAAAGTAACAAGGAAAGAATACAAAGGCCGATAAAGAAAGTCCAAAGAAGATGACTCCAATCAAGTAAAAATAGACCAAACTTTGGTGTCAAACGCTTAAAAAGTAACATAGAACCTAACAAGGGACAAGACATCACACGGACTCATCTCCATTCCTCTAAAGGTTCGTTCATTTTTTTCTACAAATCCAATAACACACGAACCCTATTTTACCACGACATCCTTCGAGACAGTAGATGAAAAGGTATGTTCTTGTAATCTCTATGTCGGGAAGCCTGAAAGCCAAACACGTGGGCAAAAAACAACTCCAAAGGATATGATTACGATCTTTCTCTGTTCGTCATCAAAGAACGGAACAAAATGACCTTAACGAAGAGGAAAACTAACTCGAAAGTCGATCTAGATAGCCTACCAAACAACAAAGAATTTGAGTTTTTTTAGAATATTCACCTTACATATAATTGAGAAAACAAACTCGCTAGAGGGCAAAAGGACGTTGAACAAGCAAGATAGAAGGAACGATGGGAAAAGCCCTAATAGGGCTAGGACTCGAAAGGCAACTATTCTTTCTCGATATCCAATCTCAAATTCCCTTATTAATGATAAGCGAGTCATGACATCAGTCGTTATTCTATCAAATAACGAACAATAAAAATTGTTCAGGTTGTCAAAACCCTTCAAAATAACTATTAGTTCTATTCTAACTTGTAGAAATAATGAAGCTAGTTCGAATCTCGGTGTTGTTCTTCCAATAAGAAAAATATCATAAAAAAGATGACATCATCGAGACACTACAAACGAAAACTTGAATGTTCGTAATTTGAGCATCTAACAGTGTCAAAATATTGACCAATGTTAAACATGACGTTAACTAAAAATTTGTAGCGTTGAGACGTCCAAAGTGGCATTAAGATTTGGTCGTGCATGTCAAATGGTTTGAGAGGTTAAGTACGAGCGTTGTTTAAATTAGCTTCCCAAATTCTCGCTCAAATGACTCGTCCAAAACATTCTAGTTTACTCCAAATACTCGATCCCTATAAAATAGACAAATAAGACCGTAAAAGTATTAAAACTAGCATCAAGATGCTAACAAATAACATATCTACTATTATAAACTAAGCATAAAGAACGAGATATCC